TTCTTAAAAATGATTTTAATGGTCTTGAATGTTAAGAATTTTTGTGCTTTTTTTGTTGTAACTTTATTAGAATTCTTTCTGAGCAATGTAAATACTCATTAATTTTTTACCATGCTTTTCCTGTAGAAATCCTTTTAGATGTATTCACCTCACGATATCTCCTTCATTATGTGTTTTTAAAATTAGAATTAAAATCCAGAGTGAAGCTGAATATGCTGTGTCATGTAGACACACAACTTCTATGAATTTTACATTTAGAAAGACCTTTCATAGATGTTATTTTAGTAAAGCATTTAAACGTCTTTACTGTGAGCATCCATGTAGATACCATTGAATCCAATGAGATGAAGGCCCAGGCTTTCTGTAAACTGCCATTCATTCCTTTCAGAATTCTTTGCTGAGTTATATTCTGTGTTGAATATTAATATAATGTACATGAAATACCAAATGAGATAGAAATAGAAAATAGAAATTGATGCATGTAAAGTCTTGTAGTAGCCTTAATGTGATTGCCAAAAAAATAAACAAAATCAATTTAGTTTTCAAACCTTCTTCAAATTTCTCAGGAAGAGGGGGGATATTAACACATTCTAACTCAGGGGTGGGGAAAATGTAGCCCAGGGGCCAGATGTGGCCCTCCAGGCCACTCAATCCAGCCTGCAGGGCCCCTAAAAATTTAGAAAATTAATATTTATCTGCCCTGGGCTGCCTGACATGCAGCCATGGATGGCTTGCCAAAACTCAGTAAGCGGCCCTCTGCCCAAAATAATTGCCCACCCCTGCTCTGACTCTTTCAGTAGTGTAAACGCCTGTTTAAAGCATTCAGTCAATGGAGTAGTCTAGGGTAGAAATGTTTTCTTACCAGTACTGACAGCTGAATGTGCTTTATGGAAAGTGTAGACCAGGACTAAAGCAAGCTCAGCATTGTTTCAGAAACCAACATTCATTCCATGGATATTGTCTTTACTGGGGAAATTTACCAAAAGTTCAAACTGGTTTTAAAAATAGTTGGAGTCAAGGTAGTTTACACAAGCCTCCAGGATTAAAACTAGCTGACCATTCAAAGATACTGCAGTCTGTGCTATGGTTGCTTTGGTAAGCAGAACTGAATGTAATAAATGCTGCCAAAGGGTTCAGGTTAAGTTTAAAAAACAGCTTGAATTCCCAGGAAAATTTCTCCAAGAATAGATAGACAACACCATCATTTTCAACGTGAACCATCATGTGGTGTGATCCAGTCTATACAGGCAGGTAAACCATTTGTAACATTAGTTAAGTTTTACTTGCCAGCAGCAACAATTAAATTCTTACTATAGATACAGTCTTATCATGGCCAAATTTCTTTGACATAGGGCAGGGGTGTCCAAATGGCAGCCTGTAGGACAAAGGGTTAAACTGTAGCCCATATGACTGCCGAACCCAGGGGGTAAACACTGCTGCTGCTCTTCTCTTCCCCACTCCCTCATCCCCTTGAGTTCACTGGTCACTGCTGATGACTTAAATCAGCAGCAGGAGAAAAGAGGGGAAATTGGCAGCAATGTTTACTACTTGGGTTCTATAAACTGTGAGTTTCCACACATTTTGGCTCTTTGTAATGCTACCAAGATGGCAAATCCACCAGAAAAATTACTCGTATAGAAACTACTTTGTAGTGATGTGTTCCGTAATGCTACATGTAACATATGCATAGTTATATATGGCACTACAGGTTACACTGTGGCCCCTCAGGATCCCAAACTATTTTGCTGTTCTTTGAGAGAGGAAGAACAGCTGATTCCCTGCCAGGCAGTGGTGAGTTGAACTGTTCTGCCAAATAGCTGAGCTGCTGCTGATCAGCTGCTCAAGGGAGTGGCTTTGTCACAATGTAGCAGGTCCAGTGGTGGGGCAGCCAAGTCACCATCTAGCTGTCACCTGGGTCCTGCCTTGCTTGCCCCCTCTGGCCTCTCAGGATTCCCCTGCTATAGCCTCACTGCTTGCCCCCTCTGGCCTCTCAGGATTCCCTTCCTATAGCCTCCCCTGCCATGCCATTATGTTATGAATGGACAGGGAAGCAGCCCCTGGGGGGGGAGGGGTTCCTTTGGGCTTTATGCTCTTTTCTGGGCTGAAGCCCCCTGACCTTGGCCCACTTTGCTCTAGCTGGGTCCCTCTCCCTGAAGTCCACTGTACTAGGACCCTATGCTCTCAGCCCCTGGTCTTGCCCTCTGCAGGCTTGCTTTGGGCCCCAATCTTTGCTGTTTGATACAAGAGTCCTTGTGCCAACAGCAGCACTCCCCTGCTGTTGAACAGCCTAGGACCTGGGGTGCCCTTGGCACCCTTCTCAGTGACCTCCTCCACCCCTACAGCTACAATCCGATCCTCCAGTCTTTAAATGCAAATGACAAAATATGAGCATCTGCTCTCAAACAAAAGGTTCCCCAAACTTGGGTCAACATCACCCCATGGCAGTGCTACAACAGTCTCAGATCTGTTGCTTCCTGGTGGTGCAGGGGTTTCCTTTCAGTTCCCCTACAGTCTGGAGCCTTTCCTTCTTGGTCAGCCCATCCCCTCTCCTCCCCAGAGCTCCACCTTTTGCAGCATGTAGGGCCAGACTGCCTCCTTGCCTCAGGCCCTGGGGCACTAGTTCTGTCCCATGCCTATCTAACAGGTTGCACTGTGCTGACTGCACCTGGGGCACACAGCCATTTTATTAAAGGGCCCTCTGCCCCTATCAATTCCACCAGGGGCTGGAGCCAGCCAGTGGCTCCCTGGCTTCCTCTTGGCTCCAGTAGTGGTTGATTTGCTGTTTGGCAAAGGGGCTCAGTCACAGCTGCCATGGCCAGCTACAGTGTCTGTCTTATTTCCCTTCTCTGCCACAGAGAGATGGGAGCCAAAAAGCAGCTATCACCCCTTGCTAGAGATGGTCCCTTTAGGGTGGCTTTGTTTTGCTCCAGACAGCGGATTGTGCACATGTGCACATAGCACTGAGGCACTTTGTAGTGTTGCAAAAATAACATGCGTCTAAGGCCTGGGTGCGACGGGGTGAAAGAAATGCTGTTGAGGTATGAAACAACTAAGAAAGAATTTACTCTAAATTTTAATTTGAAAAATGTCCATGAAGCTTAATCAGATTAAACAGAAATGAGGCTATAGCAAATATCTTTGATTTTATATATATATATATATGGGAAGTTTTATAACTTGACCTAGCAAATATTTTTGTTTTTATTAAGAAAAAAATATGCAAGCTCAGTTTAATTTTTTAATATGCTTTGGCAGAGGCATGTTATAAGATCTAACCATAATGAAAGTGAACTTCCAATATCTTCCACTTACATGGGCCTGCATGACAAGATCATCTCATTTCTGTTAGCTTCCAGTCATATTTTCTAGACCACGGCAGGCTTGCTTTCTCCTCCAGTGGTCCTCCAGCTCCTACTACTCCCAAATTGCTAACATGACTTAATCTCCTACATAGTTGACAAGATTCCTCCTTGTTGGGACTTAACAAATGCAACACACAAGCAAAACAGATAAAGAGAGTATGTCTACATCATGTGATATGGTGCTGTGCAAAGATATCCAAATGGGCTAGTGTGAGTACTGAAGTAAGCTAGGGCAGTGCTTCTCCCAGGCAAATAATTGTCTTTATGATATATCAATTTAGGGCTAATGCAGTCAAGTTGATGCCAAATTATCCCATTAAGAGCTAATTTGGATCTCTGCATTGTATTGCATGGTGCTGTATAGATCTACTCACTCTGTCCCCAGCTTTCTCCCCAATGGAGCTGAGCTGGCATGGGAAGATTATTAATTTGGTGATTAGTATAAATCAATATCAAATTATCACCCTTTGTGGAGCAAATGGGAAGCAGGATGTGACCCTGGGATGGCATTGAGCTACTCTTCCTGTGTGCTGTGGTCTAGGAGTACAATCCAGCCCTCAAACTTACACAGAATGTTGGCCAAGTAGATTTTCAATATGACTTTAGACAATTTAAACAAGAGTTAGTTTGCTTGTGCCATGTAACTACCTATCCTTGCAAAACATTTATTTTCTGTCACTTAGAAGTGACTGCTGGTCTCTTTCTTTTTTTTTTTTTAATCTCTTCTCTTTCACATTTTCTTGACCAGGTGGCTTTCTCCATTTTTTCTGAAGTGTTTCATTTTCCATTCTTATCTATCTTTCTTCCTTCTTGGCAATTCTTTTCAGGCCTTTCTTATTTTTCTCCTTCCCTTCTCTGTTTCTCCTAATACCTACTTCTCTTCTTTTTTTCCAGAGCTACTTCTGTCTTGCTTTTGTTTTCTTCTTGTCGTTTTGCATCTCTGAACCTTTACTTAAATTCTTACCAGAAGAAACTATTGGTGTGAGCTGCCTTTGCATATCTGGGAAGCTGAAAACCCTTGTGGAAAGTTGAAAAAGTGTGCTTGCTGAGCAATCTGTTCCCTGAATGTCCTTCTACACTGAGGGTGTATCTTTTTTGCTATTTCCAATTCTCATTCCATCTTACAGGAGTTAATCAGAGAAACAGACCAAGGGAAAATTCAGACCTTGGAATTGGAATGTCCCTTTCTTTGTTTCTACACAGCCAGGGCTGTGGACTGAGGGCTGAGATGTAGAGGTAGCAGCATGGAGGAGTCTTGCACTTTCTGGGGGACACCAAATGCAGGCCTAGATTCATTGTAGTAGTTTGGGCTGGTGCCTAGTTTATCTGTTAAGCTTTTAGTTAGTCTACTGTGATGTTGAATATTGAGTTCTTTATTACCATTTTTAAAACCTTAAACGCCCAGTAATGGTTTACACATCTTCATGTTTCATTTTATTCTAAGAACTAAATGCCAGGTTTTGGGATGCTATATGTGGTTGCCCATCCAAGGGCATAATTTGGTCCTGTATATCATTCTTTAATTTATTCAATCTTTTTTTGTTTAAGCATAGAAATTCATTTTTTTAAATCAAAATTATGTTTAATTTATTGTAATGCATCTTTTAAAATACATTTCATTTACATTTTATTTTTCAGACACCTCTCATTGAACCTCACATCCCTCTTCGTCCTCGTAAAACCATTACACAGGTAATGGGACATAGATATGTTGTAGAGTTTGGCCACTGTGTAAACTGAAACAATTTATTAGTTCTTTTCCAGTATGGAGACTATCTAATACAGTACTTATGCTTTGGTTTAGATCTTTAATGGGCATGTCTACGTGTGCAAATGCTGCGGGGTGGATTTACTGTAGAGTAATTTACCCACCCCAGGCAGGCATCTACGTGTGTGGAGATGCAGAAGCAGATCTGCTACTCCTGGCGGCTGTCTGCTCCCACCCCCTCCAACCCTGGACCAGCTTCCTGCAGCAACCAAGGGGAGTTCTAGGCTCCCCCTGGGTGCTAGCCCAGTGCCTGGCAGGGAGCATGGGGCCAGGAGGGAGCTGTCTCTTTGCAGGGTCTGGTAAATTGCCCCTGGGAGCTGCCTGCTGTCAAGGCAGGCTCTACCACTGGAGCCTGGGTGAGGACAGTGTCCCCCTGACCTGGCAGCAGGGAGCTCCTGGCCCCAGCTCCCCAACTGAGGGCTTGCTGCTAGCTGCCCCATGAGCGAATCTAGGCAGGGGCCTGAGACCTGCCCCTTCCCTGCAGCTCTTTCCAAACCCCATGCCTTGATTGCCCAATCAGGCATGGGGCTGGGACCTGCCCCTGATAGGGACGGTTCCAGGCCACATAGAGAAGTCTGCACATGCAGCCCAGAGCTGGCTGGGGACTACGCAAAATGGATAGCCTGGAGCCACCTCCAGGCTGCTCATTCAGACTTCCCCATGCAGCTCAGAGCTCACCAGGAACTGACCCAGTCAGGGCAGGTCCCAGCCAGCTTCAGGCTGGGTGGGGAACTCTCACTGGTAGGTTGTTCCCAATCGCAAGATGATTGTTCCCAGCCCCCACTCTGTGATCATGGAGCTGGGGCTGGGAACAGTCATCTCCCAGGTCCGACTCCACGATTGTGGAGCAGTGGCTGGGAGCTCCCTGCTGCTGTGGCAGGAGGACATTGTCCCCACTTGGGCTCTGGTGGTGGAGCCCTCCCCAGCAGCAGGCAGTTCCTGGGGTTAAGAAACAATTTCTTGCCCCCTGCTGCCTGCTGACCAGGAGCAAATTTGGTTCCAGTCAGCTTTCTGAACATGCCATGCTTCACAGTAACTACTCCCAAGTAAATTTGCTACTTGTATTTACAGGTAGCAAATTTACTCACGATTAGAGGAAATTACTATGTGTTAAGTGTCTGTATGTGTAGACAATGACACTTACTGTGCAGTAATTTGCTCTAATCTCAAGTAAAGCTTCTCATGTAGACATGCCCAATAAGTACCTTGGGCTTACAATAAGCCAAACTTGAAGTCTACAATATGTTATGATACTTTGCACAGGTGAGCATCTGTTCAAGAGATTATATATTATAGGTGGGGGTGTTTATTGTGTTTTGTCTTTCAGAATATGCTACAGGCACAGATTAAAGGAAGTTTGAAATCTGTTCATTTTTTTCCCTTTTTTCTCTTCATCACCAAGGTTCCATCCGAAAAGATCCTCAGAGCTGGAAAGATTTTACGGAATGCAATTCTCTCCAGAGCCCCTCACATGATAAGAGATCGCAAATATCATCTGAAGACTTACAGGTGCTGTGAACTGATTGTATAGATGTTTTTGAATTTTGATACATACCATTTTGTGTCTTGTGATTTATGCCTTGCCATGCCTACAGGTCTCAAAAGGTCGGAAGTTATTCGGTGATGCTATTTGTGTCTGGATGTTATGCAGTCTTAATGTGCCTGGTAAATTCTTTCTGAGGTTATTTGATTAGAGATTGAACCCATGATTGTATACAAAGTATACATATGAAAAACCCTCAAAAATTAAAATCACAGTTACTACTGCAATACTTTATACAATATCAAGTTAAACATATGAGAGGAAGCTCATTAATACATTATGCTAGCATATCAATCTTTTAAAGAGAGTTGCAACCATGTTGTTTAATGCAGAGATCTGAAAGTTCACACTTTGTGCACTTTAGTAAAAAGCACATCTCATGTTGTACAAGCCCCCTCTACATGTTACAAGCATCACACAATTAACTGGCTAATTGCACAATTACCTTAAGACCAGCTACATGTGCAAAGTCGTTCTCATATGAGAAAAAGCTCCGACCAGCTATAAAGTTAGACCTTGAAAATGTGTACTAACTTTATAGCTGGTTGCTATCAAGCTTTAATTTTCATGTGTAGCAGGATCCTCCTTGTGGCTGGAAGCCCCTTCAACAGACAGGGCTGCCAGAAACAGAGGTACAACATCCGAGCTCTAAGGATCATAACTGCCATGATCCCCAAGGTGCAGGAGTACATGAAACCCCCGGGCCCACACAGGTTTCTTAGTCCGATCTGCGCCTCACCCACAGCCAGGACTGAGAGACCCCACAGCTGACACGGCTCTGGATCCCCGCTACATGTGAGGTGCAGCTGGTACCCAGAGCCCCATCAGTTGCAGGATTCTGGCTGCATGTGGCCCCTGTGGCTGGGAGCCCCCAGAGCAAATGGGGCTCCCAGTCGTAAGTGCCCGCTTTTTGTCAAACCAAGGGGAGCCCAGGATTGCGCCCCCCCCCGGCAATAAGGTGTGATTGGATCTAATATGCAATCCCACAATCATGCCTCCTGCCATGCACATGTGATATGGCAGGAGGCGCAATTGTGTGGATCATGCATTAGATCCAGTCATACTTTTACCTACACATGTAGAGGGGGCCATCAATTCTCAGTTCTGTTTGTGAACTGTACTTTCAGTCAGCCTTTCTGATCTCCCTGCTGGTGGTAATGGGACATTGTGATGAATGATGAAATGGGACATTGTGGCACAAGCAAAAGAGGTATTTAATATCAGAGACTCTATAACAAGGGTGTCAAACTCATCCAGACCTACAGATTGGCCACAAATTCCAGTGCATGTCCTGGAGTGGCCAGAGTACCTTGTGCATCCTGGTTTTGCTCTGGCTGTTCCAGGAGTATGCTGTGCAGCTACAGACCTACTGCTGCAGCTACAGCTGCCCCCATTGCTGGGCTGCATTCTGGAGCCTTGCAGCCACTGTCAGTCTGTATTGCATGGCACCAGAGCTGCAGCTGCATGCAGCATGGCCCTGGAGTGGCATATGGTCACACCAGGGCTGTACTGCACATGGCAACTGCTCTGCTGCTTCCACATGCGAGCTGGAGCAGATGTGCTGGGCCCATCAAGTGCTCCCCACATGTTACCTGTGGGTCACTCTGAGACCTATAGGCAGCACCGGAGACCAAATATTGATATTGACACCCCTGCTCTATGCAACTCTGCATCTTACTAAATCTTGTTGGTTTAAGAAATAATAAGTAGTTATGCTGTTTAATATTTGAACCAAATGATTAATGTATGATTCTGAGTATACAAAAACTGACTTACACTCTCCAAATATTAATACCCTTGCTAGTAAATCAGAGTATTGCTGATCCACTTTCAAAGGAGATATAGTACAGCCTCATTATAAAAAGCCCCACAGGACCAGGAGAAAAGTTTATTAAAGGAAAGTGTCTGCTATAATAGGGTTAGTCAATTTGCTGCATTGTAATAATGAAAAACTTAGTTCATGCTGTTGGGATCATTAAAAGTTGGGGTTATTATAAACAGGATTTGTTATAATGAAATTATACTGTATTTTCTGTAAATTAAACAGCATAAGCCAGGAAAAACTTTGGAACATTTGTATTTCTATGAGTGTTCATCTCAATATGCACTGATGAGGTTATTTTTCTTCTTTTTATTCCTAAATTATTTAGAAAAAAGTAGGAGTGATACCCTGGAGGCACATGTAGTACATGCATGCCAGTGCTGCGCCAATCTACCTTAAAGATGACCTGGAAAAGCTGTTCTGTTCTTTGGGTTCAGTTCTTGAATAAATGAAGCCAGTGCTATGGAGCTATGCAAAACTGTGTGTCACTGGTCCTGAAGGGAAATCTCTAGAGTAGACCAAGTGGTAGAGAAATTCTGTTTTGTGATTAAAGTGGGACTTTAAGCAGGTCTCCAAAAGTGAGACTTTGTCTAACTCAAAAATTAGTATTTCAATAGCACCTGCCAGGTTAGTATCTAAAAGCTATGCATGAATTGTAGAATAGGGAGAAGTCTGGTATGGATGAACCAAGCATTTCTGCATTATATCTGCTATATATAGACTTTCCTGTCTCTTCAGAATGCTGGATTTTCTTCTGTTCTAATGGTTAAGGAAATGTTAGACAAAGACAAAGAGTAAGGTCCTTACAGGGTGACCTAACGACAGCAAACATCAGGCTCTTTTTGATCTCCTTAGGGAGGTTATTCCAGAGCCTTGGGTCTGCTGTTGAGAAGGGTTTACCTCTGACACAAGAGATTGTGCATGGGATGTGTCAATCATGATCTGTCAAATAATAGCAGCTAGCATGGAGGAGTCCTAGAAGATTGTAAAATGAAATTCCCGTAAGGGCTTTGTAAATTAATACCAGGAAATCCAATAATGGTTAGAGACTTAAAGCAGGTTGTGGAGCACCATTATAATAGTAATTCTTCTGGGCCTCCACTGTAGGATCTGTTACTTAGCACAGTGCTTGAGGCATAATGTGTCTGTCTTTACTGGGTCTCTTGCAAAATGCAGCACAGGCACCATATGACAAAGGTAGGACAATGGCAACAAAATTATTTTATCTTCTACCTAACCAGCAATAAGGTGGCTAATTCTGAGATCTATTGGGGTCAGCGTTTCCAACGTTTTCCCCTACTGGTAGTTGTAGCAAACTTTCTTTGACTTTGTACACATGGAATTTAGGACCAATTCTACATAGGCCTTGAAATTTAAAGCTGATATTAAATTTCTTAAGACAAACAAGGTATTGTCTACCATAGCAGTTGGCAACCTTTTTTGGCTGCTGGCTAGAATGAACCAGTTCAGGACAGAGGTGGGTAGATATTAGGACTCGGCCACTGCCACTGCTTCTGATGCAGCAGCACAGGGAAATCTCCTGCTACCACATCTTCTCCCCATAGTGGCACAGGGATAGCTCCCAGCTCCCACTTCTCTCCACAGCAGAGTGACAGGAAGGGTAAGTCCCCTGCCATCAAATGCTGCCAAAGCCCCATATCCCTGGGCCAAATCTGGCCCACTTAGGAGGCTAGCCCCTGTTCTATTGTGTACATTTAATCTGTGTAACTCCCTCACAAAAAACATTCAAGTGAGCATAAAAAAAGTTTCCAAGGTTCTTTGGGTGAATCTGATATCTTGTATTAGACCAACTCAAATAGTTGGGGAAAAAAATTCTTAGCAAGCTTTCGCATTTAAAAACCCTTCATAAGGCTGAGGAAGCCTCTACAGTTGGTGTGTGCTCTTCCTGGATGGAACGAAAAGTAAAGAAGCCAGAGGCTGGTATGCATGCAAGACAGGCAGTCAGTGAAGATGTAAATTGAGGAGTCAGTGGGTGAGAGACAGGCTGGGTGGTAGGGGAGAGAGAAGGGGGATGAATGTAGCAGGTAAATTGTAGTGAGGTACCTGGGGAGCCAGATGTCAGGCAGGTTATAATGTGTCATAAATCCAATGTCTATATTTAGTCCATGATTTTTTGTATCCAGGAGGTTAAGTGAAGTTCATAGGCTCGTCTGTGAAAGTGTTTTGTAACCTTTGAGGATTAGAACTGAGAGATTGGAGAGAGAGTGGCTTTCTTGTGAGAAGCGTGCCCCCACTGGTAATTGGGTATTCTTGTTTTTGATAGATTTCCGGTGTGCGTTCATTCTGGTGCGCATTTGTTGTTTGGTTTCTCCTACGTATTTTCCATCAAGGCATTTGGTGCACTGGATGAGATGCACTGGATGAGATGCACTGGATGACATTTCTGGAGGTGCAGCTGTAAGATGCTGGGATGTTGATGGCTCTCTTGTGGGGTGTAGTAATTGTGGGGGTGGTGGAGATGTGTTGGCAGGTTTTGCATTTCTTGTTATGGAATGGTCTGGATCCATTCGGTATGTTCTGGGCTTAGGAAGTTTGCTTCTGGTGATGAGGTTAGCAAGGTTCGGTGCTTGTTTGAAGGCTAGGATGGGTGGTTCTGGGAAGATCTCGCTAAGAATAGGGTCTCCTTCTAGTATGGGTTGCAATTATTGGAGGATTTTCCATATAGATTCAAGGGAGGGGTGATATGTCATAACCAACGGTGTATGATTCATGGGTTAAAAAAGGTTTCTACATTTAAAGATACATGAACTAAGCTAAAAAGTACTATGGTTCATAGTTCTTTCCAGCAACAAAGAAGATACTGTCTTTTACCAGTCCAATATAAAAATTATTACTTCTCTGCACTGATGCAAACTCTGATCACCAGCTGAAGCCATCATTTGATTACTAGATCATTTAAGGTTCCCTTGAAATGTGGAGCAGAGGAAAGTGCATTATGCGGCCCAGTTAGGCACAGGGTAGCTCTTATGTTCCATTTTCCACTAGGCTTGATTGTTTTTTGCTTAAATAGTTCCCTCAAAAATGAGTATTTTGACAGGTCTTTCAAATATATTTAAATGGCTGAGAGTGAATGCTTCAATTTGTTTTTTCTATAATGGAGGCTGACTGCAGAGTTCATCGTTACTGTTCCTCATAACAAGTCCTTTAAGCACTTTCTCTATCTACTGACCTGATTTAATTTGATTTTGGCTCCTCAGACAATGCTGTGTAGGAACAGAACTGGTAGACTGGATGATGCAACAGAGTCCATGTGTTCATTCACGTACCCAAGCGGTTGGCATGTGGCAGGTACTGCTGGAAGAAGGAGTTCTTAACCATGGTAAGATAAATTTAATCAGATGCTGACTAAACCAAGGGAAATGCATCATATCAAAGTCTCTACAGATCCCCTTTATGAAAAAAGAGGATTATGGTCACAGGAGGAATACAGCAGAAAATCCTCTTCAGCCATCAGCAATGCACAGTATTGATTGCCACATTCTAATACTATACTTTTATAATTCGAAGAATGTTGAAAAATAAATGAAATTGCAGTATAATGGTGACATTTCTAACTATACCTATTAGTTTGTGTTCATGGTTCATTGATACTATGATTATACTGCTACCACTATATAGCAATGGGGAAAAAAACCAAGAGATGTGTTGCCACAATGCCTTCATTACACTTACAGATTTTGAATAGAAGTTGGCTTGGGCTGCAACATTTGGAACTGAAAGCAGACATTGAGGCCCGGGGGAAATGTTATAAGGATTAGTCTCAGAATTCAGGTGTGGATCTCAGATATCGCAGTGTCCAGGGGTATTCAGGTCTGAGATTTTCCTTTGGGTTCCTATTTGATTTTGACATTGCTTTTATGTTTACACTCAGTGAACCTTCTGGGAAAACAGATGTTATAGCCTCCAAATGGGTCTTCTTTAATGTCACATACTGTTTAAAACAGTTTCTGTATAAAAGTTTGGTTTCCTTGCATCACACCCTGCCCTGCTCTGAGAGGGAGGAACAGCTTTATTTCTGCTAAGATCTCTGCAGAGCACCTAGTGGTGGAGGCTGCTGTACAGATGCATTGAATCATCACACGTGTAACCACCATGGATAGGCTCCACGTTAAGCCAGAATTGTTTCCATTTCAGGCAGCCCCACCTCCTTGCTTGGAGAGGATTTCATGGCTGTTTTGTCTTGCCATAACTTTGTCTTGGCAAGTTTTCTGCTCCTGGAGGTCTTCCACTGTGACCCTACTGTTAGACACAGTTGCCTCAGGAGTTTTTTTTAAGGCTTCAAGAGTCTCCCAGGAGGAGTTTAGATACTTCTCAATCTATTGTTTTTGGGACCTGTCCACAACTGATTAGGTAAAGGGATCAGGTGAGAGAGTCTTGCTGGGAACAACCATGTTTATATATAGTTGTTTGCTAGCACAGTTACTAACCCAGTATTGACAGCCTCACTTTAAAAAGTAAATAACATGGTGTGTGGAAAAACTACTAAGTATAGAAACCTTTTAAAGAGCATTTGTACTGTAAAATTAGAAGGAAAAACTCCATGCTATGTAGCTTTGTGCAAGCAAATAGCATGCATGAGAAATTACAAGGATACTTCACACTCTTGATATTTCTCTACCATTTTACCTCACTTGTTAAACAATTATGTATGAGCCACATATTGTGTGTGTGTGTGTGTGTGTGTGTGTATATATACACATACACCCCCCGTTTCTAAGAAGCTAAAATTTCTTTGAGCTGAATTTAATATTGATATCTTATATCAATAATGTTGTTTTCAGTGGATCAAGAACACCATTTCCAAGACAAATACTTGTTTTATCGATTTCTGGATGATGAACAGGAAGATGCCCCAATGCCAACAGAGGAAGAGAAGAAGGAGTGTGATGAAGAGCTGCAGGATACTCTGCTTTTGCTGTCCCAAATTGGCCCAGATGCCCATATGAGGATGATTCTCAGAAAACCGTACGCAAATTAATATTATGCATGGGACTGGCTACTGCTAACTTTCGCAGGGTTAGAGGTCAAAATTGTGGCCTAAATATATTTCAGATATATTTGTGCTTCATGTTTCTGGCTTCTGAAAAAAAAGTTTATATTCTGCAAGCTTTTTGCTCCATCTAATAAGGGCGACTCTGGTGCTCAACCTCCAGCCCATGGGTCAGATCAGGCCCACAGAGCTGTGTCATCTGGTCCATGGAATTTCCTAGGGATCTAGAAATTTTGTGGCAGGGGAGCAGTAGGAGTATTAATTACTCCCAGAGCTGTGACAATTAACACTGCCACTCCTCCCCTGCTACCAAATATCTGGACTTGGTGGGAGGAGCCCCCTGGTCTGGATGATATAGTTCCACATGCCAGATCACACTGGCACGTGGCCACACAGCAGCCAAATCTGGTGTATGGGGTTGCACTGCAGATAGACCCAGTATGAAAGGTTGCACTGACACACTGGATCCAACCCACAGCCTGACCCCACACATGGTATCCAGCCTGCAGACCAAACCCATGCCACTCATCCAGAGAGGTTGAGCATCACTGCTCTAAGGGATCTGTCACATGTTGATAGACTTCTTTCTGACTGATTGTTCCTTTTTAGTGTCAGATGAGTTACGCCCCAGCCCCAGCAGCATTGGCAGGGTGCTCAGCAAGGTGGGGAGCTGCTCTGGGGCCGGGATCCTGCAGCGGTGACAGTGTGGTCTGGAGCTGGGGCAGAGCTGTGATGAACTGCCTGCACGCTCTGGGTAAGGGTGTGCAGGCAGCAGATCACAGCTCTGCCCCAGCTCTGGACCATGTTATCACCACTGCAAGATCGCAGCCCAAGCCCCACAGCAGCTCCCCACCAAGTGTCGCCAACTCTGACTGGAGCTATTCCAGGAGATTTTTTCCCCTCCAACGTAATGTAATATCATTAATTAGGGGTGAACTAATAGAGATTTTTTGGGCCAATGCTAATGGCCAATTTTTAACGACCCATATTGGCCGATACCAGTCCGATTGCTGATATGCAGCCAGGCAGCTTGGAGGGCAGCATCCAGCTGGTAAGTGTGTTGTGGGGGAAGGGGGGAGGGGGAGGGAAGGGGCATGGGAGGACAGAACAAGGCCACAGTGGTGAGAGAGGAAGTTGGGCTGTGCACCCTGGGAGGGCATGGGGGGCATGTGTCCTCATATCTGTGCATACCTGGATTGTCCACAGGGCAAGGGTGGGATGCCAATCTGGGCTAGGGTCAGGCAGCATCAGCTCTTCCTGGTAGGGGGGACTGGGCCGAGCTGGCTGCACTCAGGACAGGTGGCAGCAGTGGTAGGAGGGGGGCTGGGCTATGGAGGGGGCTGCAGCCACCCCAAAATTTGCTGTAGCCCCCCTCCCAGCAGTTGCACCACTCACTTTGAGTGCAGCCCTGGACCAGCCTCCCCGCCAAAAAGAGCCCAGCACCGCCCTCGGTCCCAACCCACAGCGGTAACCCACCCTTGCTCCACAGCCAGATCCAGGGGCACATCTGCCATGCCCTCCCAGGGTATGTGCAGCAGCAGGAGGTACCACCCCCTCCCTGCACCCCCCAGACAAGCCACTTGCAGCTCCATCCCACACTCTGCTCTGGCTGTGCAGCACCAGCCCCACTCCCTCCCTCACCACTGGGGCCTTGATCTATCCCACCCGTACCCCGTGCCCCTTCCCTCACAACAGACTTACCAACTGGACCCTGCTGCTCTCCACACTGTGGGGCTGTGCTCCTTGCCTCCTGAGTGCTGCTTTGCAGCTGCATGCATGCACCGGGCATTTATCAGTTACATTATCGGCCACATCAGCCAAAAAAAGCCAACTGCCTATACTGTCATATGGGACTAATGTATTGGTGCACCTCTAGTCATTAATTGTACTATTCAACCCGTTCACAATATCAATCTCCCAGATAGCTTTCAGTATTTGCTGAGAGATTGGTGCTGATTCTGGTAGACTCCTGGCCAATCCAGGAGGCTTGGCAACCCTATCCCTCCCTAGACACAAGCCCTGCAGTGCTGCTGGGGCTGGCCCCACGCTGTCATGGCTCCACTGCTCCTGGAATCTCCATGGAAACCAGTTGCAGCAACATGGGAAAGGGCTGCTGGGACCGCCAGCCAGATTCTCCATTTTGCCTACTCCTAATCTACAGTCAATAACTTCATGTTTTAAGTGACCATTTCATAGTGGCTGCTAAGATACTTGGTTTGTTTAACCCTTAATTAGAGACCCCCCTCTTTATTAGGCAAATAATTTCTTTGGTTGGCACTTAAGGCACATTTCATTGGGATTTACATGGTAAATGGAATTTAACAAATTATTTCAATGAATTTTACTAATTGTGTAAAGGTCATAAAGATCAGTTCAAGAAAGATATGTATGCAGGACCAATCACACTCCCTTTGAGGTCATTAGCAAAATTCCTTTTTAGTGTGTTGTGAGAACAGGATCAAAACCACAAAATGAAATGAAAGATTTCCCACTACAAAGGTGCACTAGAATGCAGTAGAACAAGGGTTCAAACATAAGGTCTGTGGGCCATTCTGGCCTGCTGGGCTACCAGTGGGCTGTGGAATTTGGGAGCATGGCTAGTGGGGGATGGGGCCTAGTGTAGAATTCAGGGCTAAACATGGCCCTCAGCAGCAGGAGGTGAGGGAGGACTGTGCCAACACAGCCTGGCTCATCCTGAAGCTGCTTGCCCTGTAGCCACCTCTGCCACAGTAATCAGATGCCTAACCTGTGGCTGCTTGCCCCATTGCCATTGCCATGGTTGCCGCCACTGCATGGATGTCACTACTCCCTCTGCTGTTGCTGCTGCAGTTACTACCACAGTGGTTTTCACCACTGCTTTCTTCAGTACTGCTGCCATGGTTTCTGCCATCATACTTCCCGTCACCACCATGCTACCAGCCCTGTGGATCCAGCTCACCCAAGAGCCCTGCAGTCTGGATCTGGTCCAGGACGTGGAGTGAGTTTGACACCCCTGCAGTTGAACAGCAGATCTCTTGAACTTTTCCTTTCTTCTCCTTTTGGCATTTCCTGAGAGTTGGCCTGAGCAACCCCATGGTCAGAGGTGCAGGCAGGCAGGCAGGAGCATAGGGCACAGTCTGGCAAGGAGGTGGAGCCACCTGCACTGCCCAGCTCCCCTCCCCACCCTCCCTCCCCCCAACTCTAGCCACTGCTCCAGGGGAGCCAGGCTAAGCAGTGTGGGTGGTTCCACCTCCTCAGTGGTCTGTGTCCCTGCCTGCTTGCCACTGCCTGCACCACTGACCTGGGGGAAGGGCTCTAGGAAGGAGGCGTCAAAATACAAGTTCACCCAGGGCACCAGATCCCTAAGGCCAGCTCTGCATTTCCTTACATTTATGTGAAGCACTTGACAATGTAAAATAATAAAAATAATGATTATGGTGATGTTGAAACACAAGAGAAGTGGGTTACTTGAGAGATGTGGAATCCAGAGCTGTCTGTTTAGCGGACCTGTGCTTTTGCAGACCTGTGATGTCCTTGCCCTTCACCACTAAATGGCAGCATGGTTCCTGTTGGTTCCATGGTTTATGGTTCATGGTTCCTGCTCTCATCAGCAATCATCTCAGCACTGTTCACCTAACCTTCCTTCACATGGTGGTTTTCAGTGCAGGACATCTATATAAATTAATGCTGACCCAATCAATGTGGATTATCATCCAGATTCTTTGCAGAGAGTTACAAGGGGAAGGGAACAATGCTGTGAAAGGAGCCTGTTGAAATATTCATGGGGGATTTTTCATGAGATATGGGCAGCCTCTGAAGATTGCCATAGTACTGGAACATCTTCTGTGTCCTTCTCTTCTGGGCATGCTGCTTTTTACTGTCCAGTGCTCATGAAAGCAAATTCATAGAATGTGATACCATATTCACAATTGTTAAGATCCTTACTTTATAGTATATGACTGTAAGCGCTGAGCCTTTTCAAGATCACTGGATCCTCTAAATCCTGGCAATTTTGAGTAGACACCATTCTGGCTGATAAGTTCAAGGAGGTGGCTCTCATTGACCGGAGCAGGATCCACAATTTTCAAACCAACACAGCTGCGTTTTATAATAGTCACTATTTTCTGAGAGGTTGAAGAACTCATATAATTACCCTGAAAGAAATAAGACAATATTCTTTGATGAGAAGATTACTTTGAGAATTTGATTGTATAATGAAGCTGTTGCTTTGAAAGGTACTTTCTATTGTTCGAAATCTGAAACTGGCTAGCAAAAAGTGTCACTTGTTTTGACAGCTGACTTAAAAAATTCTCTGTTTATTACATTAACTGCAGCATTTTAACTGTCAAACTATGAAAGAATGTTCTATAGTTTAAAAAACAGAATAGAGCTTCAGGGAATTTTTTGGCAGGCTCTTGTTGCTATTGGTATTTAAAAAGCACACATACATTGTGAATGTGAAATTAGCTTTTCGTGAAGCAGCAAACACAGCCCCCTGTGTCTGCTATTGCAGGTGCAGACCTGTAGTACGTTCTTGGAAAAATATTTTAGAACGAACACGGCTGTAACTTGTAGGCTTTTCAGTCCTCCAGTATACGAGTGACAACTGGAAAATTAATTTTTATTCTTTAATTTCTATATAATATACTTAGCTGTAACATGAATGAGAGTGGGCCATAATTCAATGTTATGGCATAATATAAAGCCAAACACCATAATGACAGAAGTCGACCTAAAAGAGAGAAATATCTGCATGACACATGCTGTTTAATCTTGAAGGTGCTACTGTAATATATTCTCTTTTGACAGTTTTGTACTGCACTCTTCACTACGTTAACAGTATGATTCTTAAAGCCAGGGGTGTCAGACTCACTTGGCACCCTGGGCTAGATCTGGACTGTAGGGCTTGTGGCAGGTCAAATACTGCTTGAGTCAGGAGCCAGCCTTCTGCTCTACACCACATGCTTCACAGCAGTTCTGGCTCTGGCATGGGATG